GGCACGACACAAAGAACTGTTTGAACTATTAGGGAAGCTTGATTTATTTGGGAAAGGCATTAGAACAATCCCGAAAGTTGATTCAGAAAATGGGAACAAAAAAAAACCGGATGAATTGTGCAAATAGACACAAATAGAGACGTAAAACATTGATGTGCCTTTTCGCCGAATTTATTCAATCTTCACAGCCAGGTCAGATTCTTTATTATCGGTAGGCACAGTCTTAACTATATAATGTATGTTAATAACGACGTGTTGATGGTAGACACAGAAATACAGTAACTCTTAGTAAAAGAAAGCGAGAAGAAAAAACTCACTATAAATTATAACGAGACAGAATATATTGTTCTTGCAAAGAGAAAAGGCCTAAGATGAGAGCTAAGAGATATCGAAATCAAACAAGTAAAAATGTTTACCTACCTGGGAAGGGTTTTAAAAATGACGGAAAATGTAACATAGAAATCTGAAATCGCATTAGCAAAAAATGCCTTCGAAAAACTAAAAGAAAACTGAAAAAATTCATTAGAAACAAAGAAAATCGTGTAGAACTATGTAATATCGGTCCTCATATATGCCAGTGAATGCTAAACAATTTATTCACAGATGAAAAGGAGACAACAGAAATGTGGTTCTACAGAAGAATGCTGAGGAACTGAATATGTGATGAATGAGGAAGTTTTAAGGAAAATGGAAATAATTACACTTAAAATCAGAAAAAGACAGTTGAAATTTTGTTATACTGGAACACACCTATTCTATTCTTAATAGACTCTCCCACCTATAATAAGTAGGGGTAGTAGCAGTCGCCAGTGGCTCAGTGAGTTGGTCCGAGTTCAGTCTGAAATCGGACGACCAGCTGACCGGTTGAACTCTCTGCCTTCGGGCGGGGAGGAACCCGGAGGAGGCTACGGCGAAGGGCGGATTCTCTTTCGGGGAGGTAAACCAACCCTGAACCCGTTTATACGGGTTCAATGGGTATATTTTTGGCCGAGCCCACGGGCTTGGATATCCCACGTTAAACCGGCCTTGTGCCACATGACGCCCTCGTGGTGGGGGTGACTGAATATCCTCAGTGAGTTGGTGATTCAGTCGATGTCGGACGACCGTTAGTCGGATATTAAAGTATCAGCGACCACTATTAGATCTCTGCGTCATTACCTATATATCAAGTTCCTAACGTTTTGTCCGTCGAACCTACTTTAGAACCGACTTAGTGAAATACAAGCCTCCACTATGAAACTACTCCATAACAAATTTCTAGGACAGATAATGAAGAGAAATGGCTTGGAGAATCTGATACCCACAGGTCATAATGAAAACAAGGAGGACTAAAGCACACAAGGAGTAGCTTACCTAATAATAAGCTACTGTATGTCGATAGCAGAACAGAGTGGAGGGTATGGGGAAAAGACAAACTATACTAAGAATTACAAAGGTTATGTGGTTGTGGAGTGTTATTATCGCCCACGTTCTTGAAGGGATTGCACATAGAAGAATCCCAGTACGAAGAAGAGAAGAAAATTCCTTGTCTGTGTATATCTGATAATAACCTTGTGACTGAGCTATTTTTCCATTATTCACTTGTAGCAGAATTTCGCACCGATAGATCATCGATAGAGGTATTATAGATCAGCGAATGCCTTAATTTGTTGATATTTGCAGAGTTTGTGAATCTGTCTTCACTTTGTCCCAATTGTAGGAATTAGCTATACAAAAATCACACCTTTTTTTTTTACTCTGACAGAAGGAGCCGCCACAATGCGAAGAGTCTGTTTGGTGAAGTACTTTCTGATTGAGTGCGTCGATCTTGTTCTTTGCTGAGGATCTGTCTTTCATGAAGGAAGTGGGCCTAAGTTCCAAAATGAGGCGCTGACTAGACGTTAGTTACTTAAAAGTTCTCATATATAAAAACACATTTAATGCTTAACAAAACATGTAGTTCAGTAAATTACGTTTCTAACGCGTTTAAAGGCGAGCAGATGTTTGTCTTTTGAACTTTCTCTCTCTCACTCCATTTTCCTAAACGTAGCTTAAATGTGTCACGAAACCGCAAGTATGAAGCACTCAATCTCTAGCGATACAAACTTGCCGTTACATAGCGTCGAAGTGTTCTCTCTCTCTCTCTCTATATATATATATATATATATATATATATATATATATATATATATATAAAATCCGAAATTTTTCTTGCTTCAAATACTGTTATTATATTGGACACTCGTATTTGAAACAGACACCCCATTTTTTTTATTTTAAACGACGTATTACGTCTATCAGCCTTGAGAAACGTTAATAAACAAAATGTGTTCTCCGGCAGGGATCGAACCTGTACCCCACCCTCATAGGGGGAAATTACCATAAATTTCTCGAACGCGCAGGCTGATGAGATATGATATACGCAGTTTAAAATAAAAATGGGAGTCCACAGTTTTGACGCTGACGCTATTTTCCTTATTTTGCATCATATTACTGATGTATTTTCTTTTTAATTTCTCGTGTGCTGAGAAAGGGTTGCACTATTCGCGTATTTCTTATTTGTAATGAATGTTTTGTTTGTGTAGTTTCTCTGCTTCTTTATTAACTCCTATGTATATTTTTTTTCGCTATCTACAGATTTTACAGTCGCCTGGTATATTATATTGTTTTGCTATGCAATGAAAATTATTTTTCAATTATACATAATCCGTCTTTTCGCATGAGTGGGATGTTTTGCTGAAAATGTTTATACCGAAATTTTAAAGAGTTTCTGTGGCAACTATTCCCTGTTCATAGGACGGGTATTCCGATTTTTATTCATGTGCTTTGTCCCCCTTTGGACGTAGACGATCATGGCTCTCCACAACTTCCTGTGCCTTGAAGCTCTTAATAAATTTTGTTTCTTTGTTATTTCTCCTAATCCTGTTCCGCCATCCATTTATTCTAGCTATGTATGTTATGCGTTGTTTTCCTCTGTCTCTGTTGACTTCAATCTGTCCAGTGAGTATCAAATTTTCCAAGCCGTCTTTCTTCATTACCCTAGAAACCTTAACTGTCTCTTCCTGGTGTTGAATATTTTTTTTTTGTTTCCATTTTCTCTAAAACTTCGTTGATGTTAACATGTTTGATCTATGGTATTCTCAGCATCCTTCTTTAGAACCACATCTCTGTTACTTCAAATCGTCATCTTTGAGGCCAGCACTCACTGCCATACAAGAGGACAGATATCACGTAACAGTTTAGTACTTTTTTCCTTGTTTTTAGCGAAGTTTTTTTTCTATGTCTTAGTACTCTGCTTAGATTTTAGAATGCAACTTTGGCTATCCGAATACGCCTTCAGATTTTAGTGTCACACTCTGTTAAAACTTTTAATTTTAAATTGAACTTAATTGAAAACATCTCAAGAAACTTGACGAATTAGCACATATTATTAATAGTTAATGGTTTCGTCATTTTTCTTTTTTTTTTAATTTACGCGGTACTTGTCATTTCTATTGCATTAACAAATGTAGATGCATATCTTTTTGTCTTGTTTAAGTATTATAAAAAATTACGTGTTTTTCTTCTGTTTATTGATAATTGAAGTCATTTGTTCATATAGACGTTTTTAGTCTGAATTTGGTTTACTGATAATGTGGTTCTTGACTTTTGGTATTAATTCTGTATGTTTTAGAAATTTGACCGTTCATATAATTTCCATGTATAAATATCAGATCGAGATCGCTCTGCCTCATTCTAATATTTCTAAAAGACAAACTTATTTCCATCTTATTCCGTATATCATTTGGTCCTGCCTACCATGCATCGAAATATGCTATGAAAGCTAAATCAAATTATCGTTAAATCAGACGGCAGACTATTTGTAATTCTATAATTACAATCAATTAGTTATTTATCTAATTAATTTTGCAACAATACTTATGTATCAAATAAATTAGTAATAAGAATAGTAATTTTATTTAACTAACTAGAGTTGCATTTCACATATCTAACTTTGATATCTCTACGTGCGCCTGCGTGCACTCTGTGATCCTTTTATAGTATGATAAAAACTGAATCTTAGTTTCCACAACACCAAATGAGGGGGGAGGTAACCAAATTTAAATAATAAAAATATCCAAATACTAGAATTTTACTGCAACACGCTGACGCGTGTTGAAATCCTTACAGTATTTAGTATTGTTGAAGTTATCAGTAAGATTTTTGTCGAGGTTTACCAACTCTAAGTTTCGTTCAATTTAGCAAACCAATCGATAAAATTTGAATAAGTTGATTTTAACCAAAATTTCGATCGTGCTTGAAAAGATTAAAAATTTCGTAAAATAATCAAAAAATACTTTGGTCTTTCCTCTTACTAATAACATGAAAGTTACTTAGAGCAATAAAAGACGGAATATCGTGGAGAGTCATAATCGGCTACGTCCTTGTGGAACTTAAAGGAGAATTAAATATGATTAAAAAGTGAATTTATTCGGACTAATATCCTTATCTTTATTTTTAAAGCAACATATTGATTATTCAGCTTGTCTTCATTAAACGAATATAACTTTCAGACGTATTTATTTCACCAACAAAACATTTCAACGTAGTGTAATACTTATCAATCTTGTTTCGCTAGATCAATTAATACTAAGGAGTGACTTCGATCCTCACTGGGTGCTCCATACTTTCAGCCTTGTGCCACACCTAAGCTACGCTGATAAAATTATTGGGAACTTCGACGTGATGTAATGGTTATCAAACTTGTCTCCCTAGATTAATTACGACTGAATAGTGAATTCGATACTCGCTAGGCGCTCTATACTTTTGGCCGTGTGCCATATCTGTTACGCTTAGAATATAACCATAATCAGTTAGATCTGAACCTCAAAAGGGTTTTCCTTATTGAACACAATATAATTCTGTTATCGAAAATAAAGTGATATGATTTCAAAATGCATAATAAACCATTTTTTGTTTTTAAAAAAAAAAAAATTTAAGTTTTGTTTTATGCTTTTAAAAACTTCCTTCTAAAAGTAGAC